GGTGTCAGTGGCTGGATGATATTGTCGGATGGTAGGTTGTGTCCAGGGTAACGTACCAAAGCTCCTGGTTGTCCAACACCAACACTTGGCATTTGGCGCTGTCGTACAATGGTACAATGGTACCACATGTACAGAACATACAATGTCTATTCATGGTAGCCCCACGTGAATCTGCCTGAAAACGTTTGACGCTTCTGTTGGGCGACACCTCAGGGAATATCTGGCGGATCTCGAAACCAAGATTGCGAAGGCAGGAAACAAGGTGCCCAAGCTTGATGCAGATGGAAACATGGACTCGGCCGCTGCGTCCGCCTCTTCTGACAACGCCATGAGCAAGTAAGACCCGGGGTAGGAGTAGACAGGAAACGCGTGGCGCGAGAGACGAGGGTGATGGGGAGGATCAGGCAGTGAGATGAAGGGTTGGGAAGGGAAATGGGTTTGGGGTTGGAGGTAGACATGTCGGTGGATGCGTTTACATTGTAACCGTGGTTTCGCATGGCCTGTTGAAGCCTACGCTGACCTTTCTTTCACATGGTCCGTTCAAGTCTTGGGCACTTACCTTCCTTTCGCTTGGTTTGTTTTAGTCTTTGTATACACTGACCTTTCTTATGCATGACCTGTTCCAAGTCTACGTATACCCCTGATCGTTCGTTCGCAAGATCTCTTGTTGTCTATTTGTGCACTGACCTTTCTTTCGCACCGTCCGTTCAAGCCTTAACACTGACTGTCCTTTCGCATGATCCGTTTAGGCCTATACACTGACCGTCCTTTCGCACGATCCCGATAACTTTAGGTTGGGCAGCATGGGCCCTTTGGCGATGGGCGGCGGCGGCGGCTACGGCGGTGGAATGATGGGGGGGGGTATGGGATCTGGGACCCTCTACGGCGGCAGAGATCGCGACGGCAGGTTAGACACGCGCTGGGTCACTGTTGACCCAGTGTAGTATGCGGTATTGAGGATGGAGCCGCACATACGGCTAAGGTTGAGGCACGCATGATTCTCCTTGCTGTTTATTTCGCTCGTCGTGTGGTAGTAGCGTTTTCTCCGCGGACAAGACAAGGTGACACGGGGGGCTTTGCGTAGGACGTCAGAGCTCGCGTTGGTGCGTGTTTGCGGTGCCACGCTTGGTATGCATTGATCGCTGCTATGCTATACCGTATGGTGTGCTGCAGCGAGTACGTTGCGCCTGCGGTGCGTCTTTTCTCGAAGACGGTTGGATGGTACTTGTTCACGGTGTAGTGAGCGTTTTTTTTATGTTTTCGTGTCTCGTTTTTGCGTGGAGATGCACCGCAAGAGACCGAATGTATCGTCCTTGAAACGCCCAAGGATCGGAGGCCGACACCCCCGATGAGCTGTTGTCCGCGTTCCTCCCTGCTGGTCACACCCCACGAACTAACGAAATGCGTACTCGGGGACGTTGAGCGTTAGTGGCACTACAGAAGCACGTTAAGAGGCCAGCCGTGACACGAACGATGGTAAGGCGGTGCGATATCGCATGTGCCTTGTGGTATATATGGTGCGGTTCACATTGTTGGCTGTTCCGTTTCCGTGTGCTTTATTTATCGGAACGGCAGAAACGGAGGTATGGGTGGTGGGCACGGTGGTTCCAGCGCCAGAGATCGCGACGGCAGGAGGGACGGCAGGGACAGCAGGGACAATGGGCGGCGTCAAAGCGGAGACAACAGGTTATAGGCGTTGTGGCCGTTGAATGTCCATGTTGAGTCAAGGAGTGATGTTGTTTGTGTGCCGAGCAATGTAGTGTTTCCCCGGTAGACCTAGCGGTACATAGAGCGGCGATCACCTATCGTCTCTAGCGTCGACCTAGTTATATACGTCGACAGCGGTGTTGATTGGCATCGTGCATCACGCTAGCCTGCCTCATTTTTCGACGTGCGTCTTGTTTTCTTGCTCACCCCGGGTGTTCCATTCTGCAGCGCGGGCGTTAAGGCCAACGGGAACGCGGCGGCGGCGGCGGCGGGTGGTGCAGGGGATGGAGGGGTTGACGACGACAGCGTTACCCCTGGGTCGGACAACCAGCTTTATGGGGTCCTGGAAGCTCTACTAGACCTCAGGTATTGTTGCTGTTGTTGGTGATGTTTGGTTTGTTGTCTGAATGTTTTTACGTTGGCCTGGCAAATATCTATCGTATGTTGTGACGCCTCTGTCATGGAATGCGTTGCCTATCCTAAAGTCCTAAAGCCTCGCGTTGATTGTTCTGGGTCTTTGAGTTTCCCTTTGATTTTTCACATGGTATGGATCTTTAGTGACTGGGTGCTGTGGCCACGGAAGGCTTGCGCCTCGGTTGTGCATGGACGGATGTTGTAGGGTACAGGGCAGAGATTGGTAAGGCGGTGATGCTGCATTTTGTGCCAACAACAACAACAGCATCAACAACATTGGCAACGATGACAATCCTTCGGTCGATGGCTAGGGCGTGGACATTGGCTAGCGGGCTGCTGGCTAGTCTGACCAAGCAGGGCATCGATCCGTTGAGGGACTACGGGGTGCGGGAAGCACTCAAGAGGCTCGTGAAGGACAGCATTGACGGCCTGGCAAGCCGCTACCCGAAGCCAGTCGCGGTGAGCTGCGTGATGACGTCACTAATATGCTGTGGAGTGCGGCACCGCTTCTCACACAAAACTGCTGTGCATGTATTTCCGCGACTCCTGATGTAGCTCGACGCTGCTACCACATTCTTTTTTTTTCTTGGCACCCAGGGTACCATATTCCTGAGACACGGCGGCGGCCAAACCTCAACGCTTTTTTTTTTTGTTAACTTGCAAGCGAATCGATCTTTCCGTCGCGTTCGTTCCAGCTTTACCCAGCCGGGACAAAAAGGGGCCCTACTAACACCACGACAGCAGCGGCAGGCATCCCATCGTCTCCTGTGCCCTCGCTGTCGGCATCAGCGTCTGGGATGGCTTCCGACGCAGAGGAAGCGGAGGCCGGCGAGGTTACGCTACCGGTGAGCGCTAGCTACAGTTTGTTGAGTGTTTGAATAGCTTCACAGATGTCCAGGTAGCATCATAGCCGTAGATGTCACCCCCGAATATGTACGGTGATGGGTTGGCTCCCGCTGCGTCGTGCGTAGATACCAAACTGTGATAAGCTGAGTGCCCTGAAAAACGACGGTGTTTGTGAGGGAGCATTCGGGTCACTTCCAGAACACCAAACGCTGTAGTTGTGTGCCAACACAGCGTTTGTGAAGGTTTTTCTTCGTCTTTTCTGTTGTCTTTTATGTCTTGTAGAACTTGGTGTTCCCTTTTGGGGTGATTGTTGCCCTTTGGCCACGGAAGGCCTCCGCATCAGTTGGACCGATCGATACCGCCGGTGTTACGAGCAACTATAGTACCACGGGGCACGGACCGGAACGGTTTTTAACGTTAACACAACACCACCACTCGAACCCGAACCCGAATCCGAATCCGAACCCGAACCCATCAACCTTACAGGTCACGTCGAAGACTGCCGTCTCCCGCAGCACCATGGCGAACGGTATGACCCTGCCCCCGACGCTGAAGAGTACGCCGGCGAGTAACCTGAAGGACTTGAAGGACTTGCAGCGGCTGCCGGGGTACGGTACCGGGTTCGTGAAGCCGGAAACCCTTTCGGAGGCGGTGGAAGTGCTGGCACCGCTCTTGAAGATCGTTGGGCCGTATCTGGGCCGAGATCCGACCATGTTTGCGAGGGTGAGATTTTTTTTTTTGTTGTGCGCAAAAATATCGGGAATGGATGTAGTGTTTTAATGCCTTCCTCTTGTGTCAATTGACCCCAAGTGAAGCTTCAAGCTTGTTCGCTCCGAACGGTGTTTTTCTGACGTTTTCCAATATAATAGATAGCTGGGACGAAAACACACACACAAACCATGTGCTGTCAAACGTGAATTGGTCTTGCCGTAAGTCTATATTTTTTTCGTTTTGAGTCATGGTACATGCAGTACCTGTCCAGGCTAGCTAGACACACCCATGCGCCCCCGTTGACGTTTTTTGCTTTTTGTAGTTGTACAACAAACCATAAACACAAACACATGACAGCTGTCGTAGTGCGGACGCGTGATGGGTGCTCGGAATGATGTTGATCACCGAGATCGATGGCAGCGGTAGCGCAACCTTTCCTGCGTTTTTGGTCTGCTGCCGTTTGGTTGCTGCCGTTTGGTCTGCTGCCGTTAGGGTATCGAGAGTGACGGATGACTCGGACCTCGTTCATGGCATGATGAGACGACAAGGATGCGTGTATGTTGTACCTGGTACTAAACAGTTAACAATTTCACATTGTCCGGTTAACCGCACCTGGCGACGATGACCTCCCCCCCCCCCGATTATGCAGGTATGCCGCGTGCTCGCTGCTGTGAGCTCACGGAACCCCCTAAACATCGTCGTAAAGACCAGCACGAGCAGACGCAGCAGCAGCACGAGCGCGGCTGCCAAGCTCGCTGCCGCCAAATCTTCCGCTGTTGCCGCCACCACCGCCGCTAGCAGTGGGGGTGGACAAGGCAACAAGGCCAAAGCCAACGGCGGAAGCACCGGCAGCAGCAGCACCACCACCACCACTCACCCTGCGGCGGCGGCGGCGGCGGCTGCCGGTGCTGCTAAAGATCCGCTGGGCGCGAAGGATGCCGCTGCGAGAGATCCGTTGAAGACGTTCCACTCGCTGTTCGGGCTCTCTCCCGCGGAAGCGAGGGAGCTGCACAGACGTGGGGAGGCGGAAGGGGGCGCGGGGGCGGGGGAGGCGGCGCTGAAGAAGGAGTTGGACAGAAGAAAGGTGGCGTACGTGAGGGTGGTGTTGACCGTCGCACCGTCTTTGGGGATGACTCACGCAAACCCGGGGATGCAGCAAGAGGTAAGGGGGTTTGATGGAGGCACAAGTCGTCGACGATGTGTGTGGCTGTTTAGCGATGCGGCAAGAGATGCATGAGGGAGTTGAGGGAAGCAGAAGTTGACGGTTTTGTGGCCGTTTGGGGGATGCAGCAAGAGGTACATATAAGGGGTTTTGGTGAAGACACAAAAATACGCGGTGTTGATGGAAGCAGGATATTTAGTCTTTGGTATCTACTGTTACCCACTTTTTTCTGGAACCCATCGATGCACGCCTGGCGTGTTGTCGGCGTACGAGATACACGACGTTTGGACAACCGTTCTATTCGGGGGGTGATTCTATTTAGCTGTGGTGACCTAGGGCTTCATCGACAACAAATATGATATGGTATAGTTTTGGGCGGTAGGCAAGAGGGCCGGCCGGTGTCCTTCTTCCTCGTCCACACATGTCTATTATTGCCCGCTGCCTCCGCCCATGAGCAAGAAGGAAGACAAGGCCAGCGGTCACAATCTCCCCACGGTCCTTTTTTCCCCCAGGAATCAGGCATGGTGTTCCCGCGCCAACAGTAGGAGTGCGTGGTCGGCTGGCCATCAGTACGTGGTGTACTCGTAAATCTTCGGACACAAGCGTCGGAACACATGCAGTGTTTCTCCTTCTTTTCACCCCCCTTACAGCCTTTCCCCGCGACACCCGCATCCCTACAAAAGGTTTGGAACATGCTGGCCGAGCTTCCTTACTTGGACCGTTTCATGCTGTACGGAGCCTGGAGGGGGCACGGCATGGAGAAGTATGCCCTGGGTGTCAAGCACCCGCAGTACGCCGTTGCAGAGGTAAGGGTCTCTTTCTTTTTTTCTTTTTTACTCCGGTGGACATGGTCCGGAAAGCGTGGGAAGCAGGTCCTTGAACCTTGAAGATGCGGCGCAACCAATAAAACAAGGAATATATTGGTTTTGCTGTGGACACAATATGTGTTACCGTAGACCGCCCAATCAAAATTGGATATGGCCAATAAACGAGCGAGAGGTGCGGAGGGAGGGTAGCTGTTGATCCGTGCATGCACCCCGAGACCCCCGTCTAGTCTAGTTTATCCTACGGATGGAATGGGATAGGATAGAGCTTTCTATTTGTGATCTTCGCGGTACAAGTAGTATAGTTTGTTGGTAAAGCCCTGTGTACGCATATCAAATTGGTTGGTTGCGTACGTGTTACTCCTTCTATCGATTGCTGGTTTGGTTTCCAGATGGGCCATGTTGTATGGCCTTTTAGCACTATAATGTGCACGGACCAATCTACCTCTGCTGTATTGTGATTAGCAAAAACTAACATCTAAGAGCAGCAGCGGCATCGGTGGCGTAAACCCATTCACAATAAATGACCAAACTAATGTTGCCCCTCTGATGCACTGGTGATACAGATTGCGGCGGGGGCGGAGATCTCGCGGCTGATCAAGATGCTCACCTCGGACAACGTTAAGGACATGGCCCGCAAGCTCGGGAAGTCCTCCCACTCCCACCCACTCCTCTTCGCGGAAAAGGCACTCAACCAGCTCGAGAGGTTAGTATTTTCCCTTCCCCTAGGGGTGGTTTGTGTCACTCAACCAACTCGAGAGGTTAGTCCGTACCCACGCGTACGTACTCGTCTTGTTGTCCAATCGAAGCCTGAGCCGCTGACGTCGCTTCACAGGTTGATTCTCTCCATGTATCGTGGGGAGGGTATGTCTATCGTTTGTGTCTATCGTGCACATGGTCATAATTACCAAAGGGAAGAAGAGAAGGCACAGACGTAGCCCTAGCCGTGGGACATGGTTGTTGTCGTGGGTGGCATATGCTGGTCCTGTCCTGTAGCTATCACAACGGCGGCTTGAGTTGCAGTTGCCCGTCAATTGCTGTCTGTTCTGCTATCGTCTAGACTGGCTCGATTCACCGTTTGTCATTCCCTGTGGTGTGTCACGATGTTTTTCTTTCCCCTCCTTGTTTGGTTTTGTCTTGGGTTAATTTCGTTCGGACTCCAGCTATGACAACTTCATCTCGATGGTGGCGGACAGCATGAAGTTTGTCGGGAAGACTTTGGGGCTGGACTGCATGGCGTACACCATGGTGCAGCACCTCTGTCAGAGCAATCGGTCATTCGTCAGCGACAGTGGCCTGGACTTGGAGAGGCGAGTTTCACCTCACCGCCTCTGCTTCTGCTGCTGCTGCTGCTGCTGCTGTTGATGGTGGTTGTAGCCGCCACAACTTCGTGGTTGGGGATGATATGTTGGTATTGTTGTGTTGATGCTGCTGTTGTTACTTTGTTGCTGTTTTGTTGTCGTTGTTCTTTTGGAGGTGGTGGTGGCTGCGGTACGTGTGTGAGGTGTGCCCACCGCTCCAATGGTCGTTTTTTCTACGTGGAAGTACTGGTTCCGGCTTGGTGAGAGCTCTTCAACCTGTGAACTGTGTTGCTCATCAATGAAACACGTGTAAGATCTGAATTCGCTTGTTTGTGGTGCACCACTGCCGCCTCTTGTTTAGTGGTGGTGCATGTTCAGCAATCGGTCGGTGACGTTACATGGTATCGTTTTTGCGACGCAATTGTGGTGCTATTATTACACGAGTGTCGACGTCTCGTGTTTACAATGATGACCAGGTGGGTTACCAACCTGTCGACGTTTGCCGGGCTGCTCCACCGCAAGAACCCGGACGCGGACAGCAAGCCTCTCCTGTCGTGGGCAGTGAGATCCCTTGGGGAGGGGGGAGAGCCGGCTATGGCCGCGGGCAAGGTGTGTGTGTGTGTGTTTTGCGTGTGTGCTTCTTGAGCGTGATGCCTACGGTAAGGGTAAGGGGTTAGCGTTCTTCGTGAGTGCCACGTGCCGTGTGCGATGTGCATGTGTGTGCAATCTTCAGTGTCTAGGTTGTAGGTGCGACTGTCTTCTGGAATATGGTACAATGAACAATCTCTCGATTGTTGAGTGAAGATCGTACATGTTTCATGGTCGTGAGTCGTGAGTACACACATGAAAGATTTTAGGGGAGGGAAAGAAACAACCAAATCCTTCTTGCCGTAAAAATCGAAGGGAAGCCAAGCACTGCAGAAGGAAAGGCGGAGAAGAAAAACTCCAGAGGCGATATGTATACCCGTGTGACCCCGGCGGCTGGTGCGTCAAGCGCATCGGAATGGTTTATAGAGTATTGAGGGTAGAGTGAGTTGCGACCACAATGGATGGGACGAAACTACAGGCAGACATTGGACATCTCGACCTCCCTTCCTCCCTCGTGTGTAAGAGATTGAGATGCACTTCAAATTCAGCCGGGTTCGGGGGGGAAGGGGTCCCTGCAGGCAGTTTCGCACTCGATGTACTGTAGGGCGCATAACTGCCTGCGGGACCCCTTCCCCCCCGAACCCGGCTGAATTTGAAGTGCATCTCAATCTC